AGTGAGCGTGTGCCCTGTGCCCTGTGCCCTGTGCAGTGAGCGTGTGCCCTGTGCCCTGTGCAGTGAGCGTGTGCCCTGTGCCCTGTGCAGTGAGCTGTGCCTCGGCTCTTCCAGATGACCGCCCCCGGGCGGAGGAGCGCCGGCGCAACGAGCTCTATCGGCAGTATTACGAGGAGCTGCAGCGGCGCTACGACTCGGAGCGGCCCGTCGACTGCTCGGTCATCGTGGTGAACAAGCAGCAGAAGTGAGTCCCTATCACGGGCCGCCTGCTGGGGCCTCAGGATCGTCTGCTTTTGCTGTGGTGCCGCCCTTCCTCTTCACTGCGCACAGTCAGGCCAGGGACAGAACCGCCTGGAGCTTGTCTGAGGCGTTCTTCTGGCTTATTGAATCTGAAATGTACCTTGTTCAGGTCGGAGGGGAGAGGCTGTTAGTGACAGTTCTGCTTTTCCAGAGCACCCTAGAGAGGGGTGGGTATAGGTCAGTGGGGTCGAGAAATGTCAGGAACAGTCGACCTTATTTTATTTTTTTTTCTTCCCTTAACCCCCCCCTCCCCGCCCCCCCGCGGCGTTCCTTGTGTTCGCCCCTCTCTGCAGGGAGTATGCGGAGACAGTGGGGCGCAAGGTGCGGGACCTGGGCATGGTGGTGGACCTGATCTTCCTGAACACGGAGGTGTCGCTGACGCAGGCGCTGGAGGACGTGGGGCGCGCGCGCACCCCCTTCGCCATCATCATCACCCAGCAGCACCAGGTGCACCGCTCCTGCACCGTCAACATCCTCTTCGGCACTCCCCAGGGTAGGTGGGGTCCCCTGTCCGCGTGGCCTTCCACCGGCTCCGGAAAACTGCCTTCCGGAAGTGTTCTCCGGCGGGAGTGCAGGCGCTGCTACCGGACACTCGGCATCAAAGGAAATGTCACTTGTCGTCAGGAAAATGACTAGACTTTATTGTAGCCCGTGACAGAATTGTAACGGACATGACATGGGTCATCATCGGGGGCCTACTGTAGACGTCACAGGCTAGATATTCAGGGGCTTCAGTCACCTCATCACTTGACTTGGACTGATGAGCTCTCCGACTGGTGAAGCGACTGAGTGCATCGCTGTCGGTCGTGAATGATTCATTCAATCACAAGTGACATCTAAAACATTTAATTGCTATCCGAAATTCAGTTTCTTTCTAAAACGTGCTTCGTTTCCTTGTGATACTCGGGATCTCTTAGTAGCGCCGTATTCACGAGTAGTTTTGCGGTTGTAAGCGATCATGACCACCTGGAAGGTCGTGGGTTCAAGCCCAGGGTGGGAGACTTGTTTTGTAGCCGTGAGCGAGGAGCTTCTCTCGGATTGTGTCAGTGAAAGCTGTGGCTTCGTCAGCCTCGTTTCTCTCAGGCTGGTGTTGGCGTGTCTCGAGCCCTGGATCCCGTCGGCAGAGTGCCGTGAGGGGGCTGTCTAACCCGGCGCTGTCTGTCCTGGCTCCTCTCAGAGCACCGCAACATGCCCATGCAGGACGCCATGGTGCTGGTGGCGCACAACTACGACCTGTTCAAGGCCGAGCACCGGGACAAGGAGCGCGAGGACATCGCCCGGAAGGCCGCCAAGATGGCGGACGACGTGCTGATGAGGGAGCACGAGCGCGACGGCCACCCCATCTCCCTGCAGCCCATCGTCACGCTGCTGTCCGAGGGCCGGTGAGTGGCAGCAGCCCCCAGCCTGCCTCCCGCCCCTGAAGAGGGAGGCTGGGACACCCGGGCCTGAATGTCCGCGCGGCCTGGCCCGTCCGCCCCGCGCGTCCCTGCCGTGCCTTATTCACAGCCGCGGTTCGGACCCTCGTCACCGTCTCGTGTGCCCTCAGGTTCCTGACCCTGGAGGAGCTGGACCGGCTCATCGACTACTTGAGAGACAAGAGAGAGCGGCTGCTGCGCAGCACCAGCGACCCTCACGCAGGCAGGCAAAACGTCGCCCTTCAGCTCTCCAGCCGTTAGAATGACGTTTTTGATTCCCCGGCTGTGTGCAGACCAGCGTGGACTCAGTGTGGTTTTTATTCCTCCTCTGCAGGCTCTCGGCCCTCTGCTGCGCCCTCCGCCTTGGAGCCCCCGCCTCCCTCCCAGAGCCTGGCCGGCGCCTCGCACGCGGCTCACGGGGCTCACGGGGCTCACACGGCCCGCCCCGTGCACTCCTCCCTCTCCTCTCACCCCGCGCACACCCCTCACCTGCCCCCGCCCCCGGCCTCCAACCCCGCCAGCTCCTCCAGCCACCAGCAGGAGCTGCAGGCTAAAATCCTCAGCCTGTTCAACAGCGGCTCCGGGGCCCCCCCGGCCAGCACGGGGGGGTCCGCTCCCTCCCAGGGCTACTCCTCCTCGATGGGCGGCCAGTCCGCCGGTCAGCCGCCGGCGTCCATCCCTCCTCCGTCTCTCTCCAAGATGCCTCCGCCCTCCTCTCAGGACCCCAGCGTGATGGCCCCCAGGCCGGCCCTGCGCCCCCCCGTCGTGCCGCCCGGCGTGGCCCCCCCTTACGGACTGCCCCAGGGGCGCGTGTCTGCGCCGGTGGGACCCCAGCGGCCGGCTGCGGGGAGCACTGGGATCAATTTCGACAACCCCAGTGTGCAGAAGGCCCTGGACACCCTAATTCAGAGCGGACCCTCCATAAACCACCTCGTCAACCCAGGCAACGCTGCAGTGCTCAGGCCGGGCCAGGGAATGGGCCAGGGAATGGGCCAGGGAATGGGCCAGGGAATGGGGCAGGGAATGGGGCAGGGAATGGGGCAGGGAATGGGTCAGGGAATGGGCCAGGCACCCCCAATGTCCCATTACCCACGCCACTACTGAGCACCCACGCCAGGAGTGGGCAGTGCAGTGAGGGGGTGGGGGGTGTCGGTTGAGACAGAAGGCTAAGGCAGTGCTCCTGCCAGGACGGTTGACTAATGAATTTTTTGTTAAGGTGAAATTTTAATTTTCATGTTTTTTGTTTTTTTGTATGTTCTCTTTAATGACATGAGTACATGGAGCTTCCTCAGAGATTTCTAAGTTTAAGTTGAAGAGCGGTTTTTCCTGTTTTGTCAGTTTCTTGTAAATATTTTTTTAATCCTGGCATGTAAGCATGTACAGTGCATCTTTCTGTCATCTGCTTAGGAAGACTTTTTTTTTTAAAAGAACAGGCTCTTTTCTGTTGTAACTTAAGGATTTGTTTTCTCCCTTAGTAGCGCAAGTGGCTGAAACTTCCACGAAAGATCTGTTTAACAAGCACGATTAACAAAACCTGCTTTTGTTCTACCAGAACCCTGGGAAGTATTTAACAGCTGGTGGCACTGGATCCTCAAGATTTGGTTTGTACAAGCAGATAGTTTCACAATTACTGTAAAAGTGAATTTTTTACAACTCTTTATTGTGAAATGTAGCCAAGCAGAAGTGTCATTTAATAAAATCATGTAACAGTGCTGGATTACAGATTAATTGTAAAAGGTCAGCCTTGCAGAAGAAATACGCTGTGTTACTTTTCATTGAAGAATAAAACAAGCAATAGGTGTAATAAAATGATTTTAGTTTATTGCATTTTGTGCAGACAAAATCTATAAAATGGTACAGGAAAGCCATAAGCCATTGATATAAGCATTTGACATGAAAGAGATAAAACTACTGTTTTTTTTCTTTTAAATATATAATTAATGAACACAATAGAGAATACATTTCTATATATTTAAAATATTCAACTTACACTGACACGAAAAATAAACAGCTAAGCACTACCTTTCTGATAGTTGTTTCTATTTACAGATATTCCCCCCACCCTCCCTTCACCCCCCTCCCTTGAGCATGGTTATACTGCAGGCACACACACCCACACGCGCACAACTACACACGCACACGCGCGCGCGCAGAACTGAAAACACAAAGTAACACAACAGGTCTACCAGAATATCTTTACTTGGAAAAGAGAACAGAAAATCTGCTTTAAGAACATAAACACCAACAAGTCTGTGTTCTAAGATGTACTTCCTTTGATGTATATTAATCCCGACTGTGAAAACATTCATACAAAACGTGAATTACACATCTCCAGTCAATTTTAAAAATAAAGAATTCAAACAAGTATATAGAATAGTCAAACCCTGTCAGAAGACCACATCTCTGGCAGTTCAAGAGTTTGTCTGCTAGCTCTTGCTCGGGGGGAGGGGGGGGTTCTTAGGCCTGTCTTTCGGATGGGAGAGGATTTCTGGAATAAAGTGGGAAAGGGCTGTAGTGTTCAACCTCCACCTTAATTTCCCTTTTCAATGACGGCGTTCATAATGTATAGCAGAAGTGTACTCTGCCCCACTCCTGTGGAAAGAGGCAGTAGAAATTGCACATGCAGTGTGAATCGTTCTGGAAACTCACGTTCACTGCCTCTTGAAGAGGTCAGCATGTGTGTAGGCCGCTGCAGTTTTTCTCCGTGAACTCGGCCGGTGGTGGGGCTCACGCCGAGGTTTTGATGCACTACAGCGATATGAGGACATCCTCTACAATACTGTTTAAGGATTTAGAAATATAAATGCACGTGAAAGCCAGGTACATTTTCCTATACTGACGACTTCAAAACAGTTAAGGGAGTGTTAATGTGCCTGGGGGTTACTGTGAGTTGTTGATTTGGCTGTATCGAGCATTGCCGTCCTATAATGTGTGAGTAACCGAAAGCTTGGATACTACGTCTTACCTCATTGAACTTATTGTTACAGTAAATCAATATTGAAAACCAGCTTAGTCCACAGTGTATAGAACAAAGTGCAAGACCCCTGCGGACTTGTCCCTCTGGCATCACGCTACCAAATACACATGAAAGCAAGCGTCTATAACTGTACCTGCTGCGCTTCACTCTAGATCAAGCCTCTGGGACTAAACTAGGAAATAGTAGCAAACTATGTCCTTATCAGACAAAGTTGAGGATAACAATAGAACAAAAAAAAATGAATCAATAAAGAAGGTGTCCTCTTTTGTTGAAAATCGTGTTTTAACTGGTGTTCCAGCCACCTCCGGATTACTTTCTCACACAGTGAAACCCTGGCAAAACGTGACAAACCTGCCTTTGGAACTGTAGCTCCCTGGAGTAAACAGTTATAACGTGTCATCTCTGAGGAGACAAAGCGACAGTGCCACCCTGTATGTAAGTACAGTGAGAGACTAAACAAAACTGGAGTGCTTTTTCTTTCCTCTATGGGCTGGGACAGTTGTGCAGCCCTAGAGCTGGTGTCATTTAACTGCCTGTGGGGGGAAAGCACCTGCAGGTTCAGTATTTGCCCAGAGTGGCACTACTGAACAGCCGGAGAATGTGTTGGAAGGTGAAAGTGCTTCTTGTGCGGAGTGGTGTCAGCCGGGACCAACCATGAGGTGAAAGTAGAATTTTCCTCTCCCATCTCCCTCCCTTACGTGCAAACTTTTGCCTCCTAGTTCAGGAGATTGCAGTCCTATTCTTGGAGAGCCAAGAGATTTTTCCAGTTTTTTGTTCCTACTGAGAGCTGAATGACTTAACTGCACCAATCACTTGTCTAATCAGTAGAGCTGACATTTTTCCCTCTAGCTACCATCTGATACTCATTATAATGTCTGCAGGAATCTCTCTGGGACCAGGCCAGCAGAGCCCTGATCTAACTCATCTGTGCAGTTGGAGCACTCAAACCTCAAAAGGAGTTTTTATCCTCTTAAATCCTCTTAAAGATTAATAATCACACTAAATTAGTAACTACTACGTTTAGTAACTTATTTGGTAATCAGTTTATCTGCAGCTAATATCAAATGCAGTAATTTGCATATTAAAAGTGCTGAAATGATGATAAGGTTTATATTGAATGTTTTCAGTGTATTCATATCTCAGGGAGATTACAGAGTCTCGGATTGGTAAAGTGATAGATCCTGAACTCTGATTCACCAACCCCCCAAAAAGTGAATAAAATTAAAACCCGATAACTCTGTAAAAAAAACAAACACTTAAAAATAAAAAAAACAGCTCATCAAATACGCAATGCCAATAAAACACCTCAATAACAATAATGAACTACCTCTGCAGAAAAAGGTGCACGTTGTTACGGAACATACCGGCCTGGAGCTCTGCTACAGCTGGGACAGGAGGCCTTCTGCCCACCTTCAGTCAGGTTAGCAAAATAAGTGTGAAATGACATAGGTCCTTTGCCCAGTGGGAACTGGCTCTGTTTCAGCTGCTGACACGGATGTTGCGGTATGTTTCCCATAATTGAACCAATCCGAATTATCTCCGAGAGCTACTTTTGAATGGATATTGCAAGGTCTTTGGTAGGGATCTGGATAGCAGAGGGGAAAACGTCCAAAGTAACTACGGCTTAATGGAGTAACTACTGATAAATATACAAGACTTACCATTATAATATTGTTCATCAACTTAATATTCACAGCCCTTTTTAGTTAGTTTTTTTTTGCATGCAGTTTTCAGAACAAGATTAATCTGACATGGTTGTAAGAAAAGAGAGGGAGCTGGCAGTGAAAGCAGGCTCGCGGGCTGGCTGGAGGGCTGCAGCACTGGGGGTCCCAGCCCAGCCCAGGGAGCCCCGGAGCGGCCATGCAGATGTGGGGGGCTCGCTCTGGGACAGGGTGTGGAGCTTCTCTGGAAGCTGCACAGCCAGGACTCGCTGCCCCAAGTCCACAGTTGTAGCAGAGCCCAGGTCAGTACTGGAAGCGCTTGTAAATACTCTCTCCTCCGTACTCAGAGTTCAACCACTGGCTCATGTTCAGTGCTGGGGGACTAGGGGGGCGCTCAGCTTAATGAGTGGGGGAACCAGCAGAGTTCCTCTCAAGACCCAAAGCGTTTCGCCAGAAAGCAGCACACCTTCTGGCAGCAATCAAGGTGGGGATCTATGGTCCTATTAACAGATGCAGTACAAAAGCCTGAAATGCACACCTATGCACAGAAAAATCCTGCCAGAAAACCTTTTCGCTAATGTGAATTTAAAACTGAGGATTGTAGCAAATGCAACTGTCCCACAATAATCTGCAGAACATCTAGGTAAAACAGTGAGTCTGAGGGCCGTGTAAACAAGCAATGCCACAGCAAGACACAATTAACGGAACACAGTGATAGACAGGCCTAAAATGCCTTCGTCTGGCCTGGCTGGTTCTGCCTCTGCTGTGAAAATAAAACCCATTCCAGATGCCATGAAACCGCAAGAGCACTAAATTGTTTAAATAAGCTCCTTGCCGTGTGCTTCATGGTCTGCTGGACAATGCTGTTCCCTCTATCTTTTTCTCATTCTCCTTTAATTGCAGGTCTGTTGTCAGGGTTTTCAGCCTGTGAGTGCCAGCACCCCCCCCACACACACACACACTCTCCTGCTCCCGCCTCACTCTGCCTCCGCAGGATGCAGTGCTACATGTCTCCACTAGGGGGAGAGTGTGTACCGGACACAAGACTCCTGGGGGAGTTTTTCACCCCTGTCCAAGCCAGAGCTCACCCGTTTCCAAGTGCTCTTCACTGCAACCAAGTTGACCGCACACTAGAAATATTTTCCTTTAAGAAGGGTGTTTCTAGGATAAGATAAGAGGCAGAAAGAGCTGGAACTGAAACAGAATCGAGACTGCTCCTGCAGTCACTGAAAGCAGCAACATATAACACATGAAGCAGCACAGAATGATATTAGAACTATATCATTTTTTCCTTTTAATCACTACAAGAACGTAAAACTCTATTGCACTTTTACGCAGGCATATGCAAAACTATCATCTAAGCTAATTTTTTAAGTCATCTGGAAACACAGAAGAACGCTAAATGATCAAGGGACATCAAGTTGTATTTTATTTTCTATTGCTGCCATTCCAAGTGCTCACAAACAATTGAAAACCTTTCCCATTCAATATCCATCCCTATTTCTTATTCTACTACAACACAAATAGAATCTGAAATAAGAAAAACACTGTTCTGTAACAGTGCCTCTTGGCTACCGCCGTGATCCCAGTTCCCAGCATTCTCGGATTATAACTATTTTGACGTGTCGACACTGAGCAGCTCGGTGAATCAGGACACAGCTCAGAAAAGACAGGATTGTTAAGCCTCCATGCAAGCCGTCCACAGACACCACTCCGGTCGCCACTGAAGCATGCAGTGCATCAAACACAGAAAGTAATTTGAGAAAAAAAAAACAATTACATAAACGTGACCACTCTCCAGTCTACAGGCTGGATGATATTTTTTGAGCTGTCGATCTCCAGACAGCTCCATTATTACTGCATGGAGTTCAGTCGTCAGTGATAAGGTTTTAGGAAGGCAATGTAATGTAAACTGCAATCTATCTGGACAAGGTACTGGCTGGAGCTTAGCGATATGTGCCTTCTAACTCTGATGGGCTTGGGTCGACGCAGCACTTCCTATGGAAAAATCCAGAATTCAGAATTCCTTACTGGGACCTCCTGTGTGCTCACAGCGCAGCCTTGCCCATCAGGAGTGGGGACTTGCCCCTCTATCCTATCGTATCCTGTCATGTTTTCACTGCTCGCCTCAGACTCTTTTGGCCAATTACCCAGGGTGCCTTCCACTACGCATGCCTAAACACATGCAGTCCACGGGCTCCACTGAGGCACAGTGAGCTGCTCGTCTGGCACATGGTCCCTCTGGGACAGCGAAGATGAGGAGCATGCGGGCCAGGGAGGGCTGTGAAGAGCCTTCGGATACACTACAGCACCGCACACTGTCTGGCCTGCAGTGCTCAGAATTAGTACGGCAACAGCGATGTAATGAACACGCCTGTCGACTCTCCCAGCTGCAGATCCCTTCGTAGCGCCAGGCAAGCAGAACAAGGCAACACCTGTTTCCACAAGCTGGCAGCCCGGGACAGAACTGCCCACATGCTGAAGAAGCCTGGAGGGTATCTCACCTCCATCAGCTCAGTAGGTGATTTGCTAGATGAAGAGATTCAGCGAGAACCTAGAACTCAGTCGGCACCCTGCAGACCTCAGAGGACCAGAGTTCCCTTGATTGAACACAAGACGTGTTCGACTGATATAAAAGCGACTATTTGAAATAAAAAAACAAACATTGGTGCTGCCAGACCTGACAAATAAGGGAGTCTGGCACAGGGCTGGAGACCCCTACTCTGTGTTACATGCAGCTAGGCTGAGAAACAGCCTGGACTTGATTCCTGTAACAGTGCACTGTTCCCCCTGAATCCGCCTCCTGTCTCCCCCACTCGACCACCAGGATTGTAAAAGTGCTCAAACCCTGCCAGTTCTCAGAAGGGATACCCACCCTCACTGATATGTATTTCTCTGAGAATCGACCCTTTTCTGGTTTTCTCCTGTATACAATTTACACTCTTTTAATTTTTTTATACAGTACAAAGTAATCTAATAGATTAGCAGCATTCTCAACTCATAAAGATTTAAAAATTTCTCTTATAAGCAACAACTTCTCACAGACGTACTCAAAAAACATAAATCCTCGTCATTTTTAAGACGACTCTATAAACTAATTTTCTTTTTTTTCCCAAAAACAAAGTGTATTGAAATATATATCTAGATATAATTAATATTCTTCATCTTATCTCTGCTACATATGACCAAAAAACAGTTTCTATCAGAGTACAGACGATAAATTATAATTCTCACTCACTCAGCTTTACTCCAAAGTTTACTGAAGCTGAATTCTTTAGTTATGAAAAGTACATATATAAAATATCACTTTGTATAAAAATAAATAAATAGTATGAATGCATGAATCTGTTTTCTAAGCACTGCACATTCCTATTGTAAAATACAACAGTTCTGCTCCAACCCTCTAACCACCCACTCGAACACTGTTTCAAACAGAATCTCCACGCGTGCCCCGTGCAGAAAGAAACTCTATTTTCCACTCCTCTCGGATGTGCGAGTACCCGTGGGTCCTACATCCTAAAGGTGCAAGGTTTCAAGTCAGATTTGTTAATTAAAAATTGCCTTGATCAATAATGGTGTTAAAATGCTCTTTCTCACGAAGCTCCACCTTGACGAGTTCTGTGATTGTTTTAAGAATCCGTGTGGCACCAGAAAACCATCTGCTCTGGCAGTGAAATGTGACAGTACTCCACAGACGTGAATGGAACCTGCATGGAGCAGACTGAAGAGCTCTGAAACCCCTAACCGGAAACGCACAATTCAAGACAAACAATGCCAGCAAACAGGAACCACTTCTCCACAGGTGTTCTTTTTCAACACACTGCTTACCACAGCTCCCATTAGGACCCTGCTTTCCCATGCCAATCAGAATAAAGCAGGACGCTGAAATCCTGTGTCGCTCTGTGAGACTGCAGCCCTCGTGGCTCAATCAAGCGTTCTGCAATCGGCTAAGCTGGACTGAGAGGCTCAGTTTTGTGGCCTGTAAGCCAGCCCATACCTGTGGAGAAATGCATGGCTGCCGGCCTCTGCAGATCAATCCCATACTGCCATGCGTTCCTATGCCCCGTCCTCATCCCTTCTGCTACACTGCCCCCTGCCTGGAGCAACCGGGGAAACACTCTGCCTCCTCTCAGCTGCCCAATGTGGGCAGTCAGAATCTCTCACTTAACTAGCAAAGGAACTGCAGGTTCCATCATGGTACCAACAAATAATCTTTAAATGTTTTGTTTTTTTTGGCAAATGTTGCAAAACGTTCAACTGGAATGAATGCGAAATGAGAATGTCTTTACTGCAGACAATTGCACTGGTTTCTCTTTTCCAATTTTTCATGTAGCTACAGGTAAATTACAAACGTCTTTTTTCCCCCCAGTAGTTTACTTTGAACATAGACAAAAAATATATTCGTTCCCCTGTTTTTTTTTCTTCTCAGAGGAACTACATGTAAGAGAGTATATAGAATACTTGAGAACAAAAAAATGCAGTTTTGGTAAAGTACATACACCATTGCACAGTGCCCCCTCCTGTTCCCCTTCTCTTCAAAACAAGGGGAGAGGAGCAATTCGTTAGTTTTTCATGAAAAACCTCATATCGATATCAAGAAGAAAAATCAGATGTGAGAAATCCACCTTGCAGCGTTCTGAGTGAACCCAGTCTGTGGCAAATATGTTTCTCTGCTAGAAGCTGTTAATTAGTCACAGAAATACTATTACTGATATACAACAATGTGTTGGGCTTTGTACACTATTTACAAGTTTCCAGCTTCTGGCGTGGAGTGAGAGCACCTCCCAGCAGTGTCAAACAGGCCTTCTTCAAGAATAATAAAGGAAACTGCCCAGCCCACTTCAGAGACCACAGCATCTATCCAGTACCACAGTTTCTTTTCCAGCTTCACTTTCTTTGGCACAACAACCAACTGATACTTGGTGCAATCATTTTTGATGTGGTTTATATCTCCTTTGGCTCCCGGCATTTTTTTTTGTGTAAAAAAAACAGAGACTCGGACAAACTTGGCAAAGGACCTGCAGAATCCATTATCGGCTACTTATGTCTGGGTTTGGACAGTGACCTTTGACCTTGTGTGACACTGCTCCCTCCACACCCACATCCCCCCCCCAGAATTGCACAGATCTTAGCTCTCTCACCTGCTTCAGTAATTCCCCCCACGGCCTCTTACCCAAAGATGAAAGTACTACCAAACTCAAAGTCTGGATCCAGCCCCGTCTTTCCAAAGCAGGGAGTCCCTTTGCTGGGCGTGAGAGAGCGGCCCATTTCCTTGCTTTCACAGTGCTCATGGTCCCTCAGATGTTTCCCCATCTCCTTCCTCGTTCAGCTGGGTTGCGTCTGTCCCATCTCCAGAGTGAACAGTCTCTCAGCTGGCTTGCTAATTTCCCCTCTGCCTGTGTTCCCTTGCAGACCCAGAAAATGCCCCAGCACAAACACAGACAGGCTGAAATTCAGTGCAAATATAATGGACACTCCTTCCATACTGAAAGCATAGTGCAGAGCTTGCTTTGCATGCTTGATATTGGCCTGGTAGGGAACACGTTAGAAACCTAACTTTGGTGTAGTCACCCTATTTCAGATCCTCGTAAAGAGAAGACTACCCATCCTGCTGCGCACCCCCTCTCCAGTGAACAATACAGCTGCACGCTGTCTGCAGAAGTGTGGGACCATCAAGGCAAGCTGGGAACCAGTTCTGCCATCAGCTACAGCTGCCCGAAGAGAACAGAGGCGAAAAGACCTGCAAGCCACAGGTCAGTTATTAGAGCTGAGTTCCTGGTGGTGATGTTCAGGCTGCCCTGCCATCTACGTTACCTTCATTAGACTGCATCTTAAGGATCTCTATACTACCCGTTGTATAGATTATTTCTCAAAATGAAGCAATCTGCTCTTTCCTGGAAGTAACATTTAAGTTATAAACATGAATAGGCATGTGGATTGACGAAAAAGCCAAATGCGTTATGCTTCATATGCACGTTACAGACATCCTGAATTGCAGTAGCATTATTAAGAAAGAAATGTAGACATTTTTCTTGGGGAAAGCACTAGAAGTAGTTTTGCAGTGGTGCTGCCTGCTCAGAAGGACTTTGTCTTTCAAAATGTGGGAGAGGCGATGGACAGCTGGACTCCAGCTGGCAGGGACATCAGGCACTATCTGAGAGCCGCGCAGGGGGAAAGGCATTCTCGCCCTGGGCCTCACACCAGCGCAAGGATCCATGGCGTTCTTTAAAGAAAAAAACGGAGGAGAACGCCAATCTGGAGAGCCGCCCCACTGCCTGGTTTAGTGAAAGGGAACTGGAGCTTGTTCTTGAAATCAGGCGAAGGCAGCTGCTCCCCTGCAGCCCAGCGCTGCGGAGTTCAAAGGCAAAGCTGTCCCGTTTTCTTCTTTCAATTCTCCCCTTTTCATCTCCGGCCGAGATGCCTCTCGCACGCGCTCCTCTCCTTTGCGCTCCCTGCCAGGCACGGCCCTGCTTTGCCCGGGGAGTGTTCTCTTACCCCCCTGCGCCCCTTCCTCTGAGCTCCAGCGAAACCCTTTCACACTGCTGGAGAGCCACTGGGTTTGATCATAAGGATCTCTGAGCAGGGCAAACCTGTAACTGGGCCACTTGCTTTGAAAGTCCACACGCCAGAGGGGAAATGGGCAAGAGCGGTGCTATGGAAGTGCAGTGCGCTCAGAACCCAGCGTCCCGTGAGTCACTCCAGCCCCCCAGGACCGCCATCTGCAGGCCGCGGGCCGTCAGCTCCCGAACCAGGCCTCTCTCCACCCTCCGCGCTCGATGCTTTCAATGCTTTGCCCGAGTGGCCTCTTGCTCTGGCCTGGAAAGAGATGGGCTGCACGGTCTCCACCCTTGAGCCGTGGCTGTGCCTTAGAGACGATGTCTTGTCCTCTTGGAGCTCTGCCACCACCCCACAGGAAGACCGCACTCCACTGCCTACAGCTCCCCGCACTCCCCCTGCCCTCGGCCATTCCCCACCTTCTTCTTGTGGAAAATTGCCCCCTTTTTTTTTTACAGACGATAAAATAAAACACAGAAAAGAAGAACTCCATAAAACAAGCTAGCCCACCTCCCCCCCCCGCCCCCCACTCTGACGAAAGATAGACTGGGGGGCTGGGGGCGTTACGAGATGAGCCCACCACCCGGAATGACAGGGAACACAGTCGGACGCACCCAGCGTCAACGAAGGAGACGCAGACGGGGAGAGAGCCCCTGCAGCAGGCCGGCCGAGCTGGCCCTGCTCCGGGACAGACTCGCGTTCCGGGGGGCATCTGAAGAGGCGGGGGGGCGGGAAGCGAGTTAAGAAACAGACAAGCGCACCCCTGCCCCCACTCCCCTCCCAGAACCGCAGAGACGGCGCCCCGCAGGCGTCAGGCCTGGAGATGATGCAGCTCCACCCTCCGCCCCCGAGCAAACACAGCTGAACGAATCTCGCTAGGCGCCGGGCTCCCTCGGGCGTGGTGCGAAGATAAAAAAAAAACAACCGCCGTGTTAGAACCCGCATGCTCGGGATGGCACGCGCTTTCAATTCTCACGAACTGGCACCTCCGGGGTGGACGCAGCGGACATCGAGATCAGACGCGGACCCTGCCGCGAAGCCGGGGCTGTGGTGGGATCTGGGACAGCGGCCCCCGTCGCGCGTGAGCCGGAGGAGGCAGACACGGAGGCGTGGAAGCAGGAAGTGAGGGAGGGAGTGGTTTTTGGCAGAAGCACGACTGGTCTTGGGACACTCGGGGGTGTTGGCAGGAGTCGGGCGCGGGGGAGGGCTCTGTGGGTGCTCTGGGCGATGTGGGGGGCAGGAGAGGCTATTGCTGGGGTGGTGGGGGGCGGCGGGACTGTCCCGGGGGGGCGAGGGTGCTGGGGAAGGGTGCAGTCTGTGGAGAGGCGGGGCTGGGAGGGGTGGTGGGAGGGGCGCGCCGGGCCCCTCAGGAGTAGATGGTGATGACCTCACGGCCCCCGCCGCGCACAAGGAGGACCCGGTTGAGGCCTTCGGTCAGGACCTCCAGGAACTCCATGTCTGGCAGAGCGGAGGAGTTAAGGGTTAAAGGCGGAGTTCTGCTCTGGAAACATCAAAACCCTCATACACAGAGGTTGTGCACAACCGGTCTAAACTACCTCTGACCCAGGTTGCCACGAGAAAGACTATGAGCAAACCTGTAGGGTCACGCTGCCCTGGAGCCCAGCAAAGACACACAGCGTTTCTCCACCTCCACTCTGCCTTCGGCACAGAGGCCCCGGCAGTCTGGTCTCGGTGTCCTCAGGATAAAGGATACAGTTCTCGTCGCCCTTCCTGTTCTTGGGCGGCCCAGGCATGTTGAGCAGCACCAGCTTGGCCTCTTGGGACTTTTTCACGATGACATCGTTGAGCTTCAGGGCCGTGTGCATGCGCCTCACATTGGACTGGTTCCTGTCCCGACAGAGAGATGGTGGAAAAGGTGTCAGGAGACAGTTGTTACTCATAATCACGAGCCTTTTCATGTTTACTAAGAGTCCTCGGGCCTTAATCACAAAATGTGGTCATGTGATAATATGTGCCTTTTTCCGAGAGAGGAAATGAAGCGTCAGGAGAAAGAAAGAAAGAGCAGAAAGAAACCAGGTTTGGCAGATGGGAAAGGAGACAAAGAAGTGGAATTCTGACAGGCAAATTCCAGGAGACGTGAAAACTGAAAACGAAAACTTTACATGAATGGAGAGGCTTAAAAAGAAATGATTCCACTGAGAGCTAAGAATAAGGTCATCTATAGCATTTTCCTCTCTGCTTTTGTGAGTAGAATTAACCTGTACTTGATGCTTTCCTGGCTGCCTCCTGACTCAGCTCCCTGCCCAAACCTCTTCTGCGAACGAGGCCCTTTCTGTGTGTGTGAGTGTGAGTGAGTGAAAATATGCACTGGAAAAGGTTTTTAAATAGCACATAGAAAGAGCTACAGAGAAAACTCCACTGGGAAAGTAGTGCAGGCTGTCTGTTTTCCATCACCTTCTGTGTCTGCTTAATTAAAATCTTAATTAAAATCTCACGGTCTGGAAGGGTGAATAAAAGGGAAGACCTGAGAAGACTGCGTTCTGCACACCTCGGTTGACCTTTTGTGTATTTCTGCTTTGAATCCTGATGTTTTTCATATATCAAGTGTGAATGAGGGGCTTGTTGGATCAAACGCCTGGAATGCTTGTGGAATAAGGAGGTACTCACAGGTTTTCCCATTCTCTGCAGCGTGGCAGGAGAGGAAGACAGAGTCAGCATTGCAACATCACAGTAACAGTTCTGAGCATGGATTTTCATAGAGCAAAGAAGCTGGTAAAGTACACCTCCACACATGGTGTATAGTCTTCCTTAATACACAACATGCAGACAGGGCTTTGCATATGCAGACACATAACACTCCCAAGACAATCAAAGCTTCAGAAGGCAGGACTGAGAAAGGAGCAGCTGAAGATATAATGGTGTGGTGATATAATGGGCTTCCATGACATAACCTGGGACCTTGCAGCTGTCCAAGGCACAAAGGGTCATCTCTGTCTGGGATAGACCCTGCAGTTAATACATATCTCCATCCATCTCCCATCTGTCCATATAATTATCCCCCCACTTATCCATTCATCCATCCATGTTTTTACCCGCTCATCCACACTGAAATTGTGAGTCCGAAACAGCGGCTCCTCTCTAACCTCAAGGCCTAAACGGCTGTTCTTCAGCACAGCCCTGACTCGCGAACCAGAGAGGAACAAGGGTTGGAGAAGGGCGATTCTCGGCAACAGCCAACAAGACCAGGGCAGAGGGTGAAAGCAGCAGGACTGCGGACTGCAGTGCTGGCCTCAGTTACAAACTGCGTGGGGTAGGACAGTGTTTGACGTATTTATAACGACTCAGGTCTTGCTGCGTTGTGCATGAATAATAAGTGACACAATCGGGCAAGGCACACAGAGACAACCCCAAACTGTGCTGGGGCAAGGTGAAATAAGAGCGGTGCTCTCTTCTTCTCTTGCACATCGAGCAAAGAGAAGGGCGGAGCGTCTGGCTGGCTTTGAGAGGGGTGCGAACACAGGGAGAGCTACAGCCCTGGGCAGAGGAGGAGGGACAGCGCAGGACAGGACTCACGGCTTCATGTTGAAGATGTCCTTGATGCCCTCGGGGGTGGTGGTGCCCGAGGCCTTGCCCTTCTCCGTCCAGGTCATGTGCACCTTCTCCCCAGGGGTCTCCACCTCCTCGGCAGGGGACTGGGGGCTGGCTGGGACTGGCGTGGCGTTTTTGTCGTGGATGAGCTGTACCTGCGGGGGGCAGGAGAGAGCGACAGACTGAGAGAGGGGGCAGAAAACAGTGAGAAAGCAAGGGGAAGGAGAGAGAGAGACGTTAGCTTGCTTTTGTCGTCTACTTCTGTAACGTTTTTTTCAAAATTCGCCCAGAAGCAAGATAATCTGGAGCCACTAGCGTCCAACTCAAGAGCCTTTGGTCTTGACCAATCCTCCTGATTTCCCCGTGTGCCGCAGACACAGGCAGAAATGCACAGGATTGGTTCTTCCAGTTCCCTGGGCGTTAGAAACTGTTTCCTTTAGTCATGCAACTGCAGGAGGAGAAAGAAGGAATGGTAAGAGGTCTAAAAAGACAAACTTGGACTGGGAAAAAACTGAACCTCTGCAAAGCCGCTGCAGTAGGAAAGGAAGGGAAAGGAACCAGCAGATTACCAAACCAGAATGATAGCACTCTAAAAGGCAAGTGATGCGGGCAAAGCTACAATGAAAAATGAGGTGAGGCAACTGTAGGAAAACAGCGTAAATTCATTGCTTAAGCACAAGGAAAAATAGGGCAAAGAGTAAAGGACTGATTAGAATGGAAAACAGAGACGAGGAGGCAGCAATGGAGCACAGAGCACAATGGATAAGGGAGGGGTGAGAGACTGCGAGAGGGGTTACCTCCTCCTCCGGCTTCTCCTCCTCGCTGCCGCCCGGCTGCTCCTCGGTAATGTTCAGGTGCGTGCGCGTGCTGGCCGGGTTCTTGCGACGGATCGAGCCACGAGATTCGTCCGTGATGCTCTGGATCTGCACAGAGGGAGGACGAGGCAGGGTAAGCCGCGTCCTTCTCGAACAAGCTCGGAGGACAGCTGTAGGCTGGTTACTGCTCGGGGGGTTGTGTGCAGGACTGCAGGCGGCGTGCTGTACCTCTCTCTCGCGCTCGTTCTTAGTGAGGTGCATCTGCTTCAGGATCTGCGATCGCTGCTCCATCACCAGGGTCTTCTCGTAGGTGTAGGCGGAAATGTCGCTGTCGTGCTATGGGAGAAGCACCTGCAGTCAGACCGTGTTTGACCGCCGCAGTGTAGGAGCAAGTAAATGCAACAGTGCTTTACTTGGATCAAGAAGGTGGCTAGAGGTACTAAAGAAAACTCCAGCTCCCTTTTCGCTCCCGAACCGAAGGAGCTCAGCTGGATCAAGCCGGAGTCCTCAGATGTCAATCAGTCTCAAACCTTGTCTAAAGATTTGTCTCTCCTGCAGTGGCTCCGGCACCCACTCAGGAGAGAATGATATGCCAAACTACAGGTCAGTCTGTCATTCCACCACTTCAAGCCAGCGCCTGACAGGAGGATTAGAGCAGACTGCTGGAGCAGAGCATCTTTTGCAGATGACATTTCTGGAGAAGTGGACATCAACATTAAACAGAAGAAGAGGATGACTTAAAAATAAAATATGCAAAAGGTTGGGGCTTAAAAACATTTTCTGCAAAGGTGGAGTCTGTATTTATAGAGAAAAGATGTGACAAATAGCATCACGTGATAGAAAAATTTTGGGAGAGTGCAGAATCTGTCACCGTGACGCTTCTAGGAAAATAACAAATAAGAAAAATGTGATGAGAAAACCAGAATGGTTTCAGTGTCCCATGTTCATGAAGGTGTAATAAATAGCTATATCAGCAGGAGCACAAGGCAAAAAAAAAATTCTCCTGAATGTGTTCTTAGTGTTATTGAAGCCTTAATTAATGGTAAAAAATATTTTTTTCTGTTGAACTGCAAGGGGTGGAGGAGGGCAGAGAGTTGGTTTGTTAATGCAAATATATTCTAAGACATGCAGAGCCTATACTTTTGATGAGGCAGACAGAGAGACAGGGGGAGGGCTCTAGAGACAGACAGCTCCTCACCATCTCCACCACCTCCACTTCAGCGCTGATGCGCAGGTGGTACAGGAAGGTGGTCAGGTCCTTCTTCATCTGGATGCTGTTGTCGTCCATTTGGGCCACAGTGAAGATGCGCATCTTGCATTTCCTCCAGACCTGTCAATGCACAGACACACACACAAGTGCTAAGATGGCTTTATCGACTCCCTCACACTCAGCCAGCTCCTTGCATCCTGTCCTTGAATAACTGCCTTGCCCCCTCAGTGACCAGTTACATTCCACTCCTTCACTCAAGATAGACAGCTGCAAACAGCTGATCACGAATTCCCTAGTGTCTGCCTGTCCAAGGGGTCCAGGCAGAAGCCTGACCTGACGACACAGGAAGTGATACCATGTGCTGGCGGAGCAGGAAGGGCAGCAGCCTGACCTAATGACACAGGAAGTGCAACCTTGTGCTGGCAGAGCAGGAAGGGCAGTAGCCTGACCTGGTGACACAGGAAGTGCTACCTTGTGCTGGCGGAGCAGGAAGGGCAGCAGCATGAGCATGCCTCCGTCGTGGACAATCCACCACACGTCGATGTTGCCCTCGGTGAAGCGCTCCTGGTTGGAGGGGTAGGCCGAGATGTTCTTGGGTACCAGCAGGGCCAGGTGGGCGGCCGTGGTCTCCCTGACCAGTTCTGGGATTGTGGAGAGATATGGCGGTAAAGGCCTTGTCCCATGGAAAGAGAACCAGTCCGTTTCACAGCTCTCAGCCTGAGTGACCTGAGACCATCACACAGCCCTGAGGCAGGATCACCGCAGGTTCCAATCAGCTGCCTCCTCACTTAAATAAGCCTTAACTACTGAACTGGCCCCACAACTAGTTAAATAATGAAAGATCACTCAGGGAGACCTCAAAATTATTTCAGAAGCATGTCAAGTTAAAAAGTTAATGACAGGTTTTCATGGCCTCGTTTTCAACTGGTTGCTGTAAGACCAATGACAGCCGACAATTAAATAAAAAGCAATAAGGACTTCATGAAGTGTCCAGTTGTGATACCCCCAAAACCGGGACACAACCTAATGCACTGTCACTGACCAGTAGCCCCTGATCACCCCCTCGTGTTTCCTGCATCGCCCCTCTGCCCCTCACCGATGAAGTTCCTCCTGGTCTGGTGGTCTTCAGCCTGCTTCCAGTTGCGAGGCCAGCTGACCAGCACAGTGTTGTGCTGCAGGCCCCCCAGGCCCCCCGCCTGGATCAGGTGGGACGTCCCGTCCCGCAGGTTTGAGGAGATGACCACCTGACAGAACCCCTTCACCTTCTCCGCGTCCATCAGCCTCCTCAGGGACTGCGGGGCCGAGACGGTCAGGGAGGGAGCCGGGGGAAGAGACGGAGCAGGAGACATGAGAGAAGGCAGCAGGGAAGATGGAGACGTTGGCATCGTGCATCACCTCCTGGTTTCTGACTGAGCTTCTGTACGATTTCCGTTCCGGAAACAGATTTATTTTTTTTAGTTACGTTGATTTTTGAAGAAAGAGAGTCAAATTGCGTTTAAAAATGCCTGGTATCTGGAGTGTGTCAACCCTGAAAAATTGATCGGTCCTGAATGGGTTAAAGCAGCCTGCCAGTTAATCTGGCTCTTACAAGTCGTTAATAAACAAGTAATTCGCATAATGAATGAAAGAGCATGTGAACATACCACTGAATGCGTAAATAAATTACAGACAAACCTCCGAGGAACTCTAATTAATTAAATTACTAAAACTGAATTATTTAATACTTCCTGCAAGATGGCTCGAAGAGGAGTTTTGAGATGGCGCTTATCAAGAGTCATAAAACAGAGACTGACTGGGTGTCTGGTTGACTGGCCTGTTACCGAGGGGCCCGGGCTCTGCTCTGACCTGCTCCGCACGCTGGGCCTGGGGGTGGTTGTTGAGGAAGGTGCCTTCCAGCGCCGTGCCCACGATGGTCAGCCCCTTGCCCGCCTTCAGCTGGTTGGTGAAGGACAGGAGCTGTGGGTGCTCCACGTTTTGGTCCTGGTCCACACTCACCAGAACCAGCAGCTGAGGCCTGGGGAGTCAGGGAGAGAGAGAGAAGGGATTGAAGACAGAGAGGGGAGAGGGACAGAGAGAGAGAGGAAATTGGAGAGAGGGGGGGTTTGGAAAGAGAGGGGATAGGATGACTGTCGAGAAATATTGTTGCACAACCATTTCTCTCACAGTATGCATTACTGTAGGTGCCATTGAAGCTACATTCTGGGTTCCGGAAGTTGGGGTGTTGGTTTCAATGCAGGGTGTGGACTTTCCAGCAGGTGTCGTGCTGTCTCAGTTGTGGGGTGCCACTCTCACCTCCAGTTCTTGGTGTGGGGAGGCCCCTCCTCCAGCCTCATGAGGGCATACCGAGCCGCGCTGAGGGACAGCCCCCGGATCCCATCACCCCACTCCTTCTCGGCCCTGCGACACAAGGCACACGTCACCACACGCCCCTGATGAAACCCCCTGGCACAAGGTCAGAGCCTCAGCTCTTTACTTCAGGGGTCTCCCGTCCTGGTTCTGGAGCTAAACGATTTCAATCAGCTTGTCAATGTCTTAATTTTACTAACTTACCGCCTTGATCTTAAAGACACCTGGAAAATCATGCAGACACTCCAGGTTTCCTGCTTTAAAATGTTTCCTTTCATTGTTTCATACTTGGATGTCATATCAGACCTGTCCACAAGAGGGAACCATAAAACGGGGACATGCTTTATTTAATTGCTAAATCCCTCTGTTTCTTGTTTCCGTGCAGCGAGCAATGATAGAGAAAAAGCAGCCACGACTGAGAGCTAGGAGGGACAGTTGAATCTGTTCTAGGGTCTGCATTCCTGTTCTGACAAAATAAATCTTGCATGCACTGTGAAATACCTGCTTACCGTTGTAAAAATTGAAAAACTGAAACTGCGATGGAAGTCGACAATAATTAGAAACAAGCAGTCATGTGCATAAGCAGTCTTCTAGGTTCTAGGTCAGCGGTCACTCACCCACGGTACTCGATGTACTTGTAGATGCAGGTGGCGATGACCATGGCAACAATGGCGTAGTACCAGGAGCAGATGAACATGAGGGACAGGCACAGACTCATCCCCAGGAAGGACAGAGCCCTGCCAGAGACAAGAAACAGGCTCAGCATGCACTGGGCAGAACCTAGGACTCCCTGTCGCCAGCAGACGGCTGGTTCTACAAGAGTGGAGTGCAAGCAAGGCACTGGACCCTCACCAGTGGTAGAATTTGAATCGGGGCCTCCAGTTTGGGGTCCGGAGTAGAGTCTGCAGGGCACAGGCCAGGTTGACAAACATGTAGCACATCAGGAAGAACCTGGAGGGAGAGAGAGAGAGAGAGAGGGAGGGAGAGGGAGGAAGGGGGAGGCAGAAAGAGCTGAGAACCACAACGTAAAGCATCTAACTTATGAATAAGAAGAAACTAAAGTGGTGGGCTGTGAGAAATTATAATTGTATGACTGACTCAGGAGACCTGGGAGAAGGACCCAGCATACCTATGCGTGAAGAGTGAGGGGTGTTTGGTATTGGCTACAAGGTTCTGTGTCTCTGGGGGTGTACGCTTCAATGGGGTGCACCTACATTGAGAGGATGGGGGCGACGGCGTCCAGGGAGGCGATCAGGATGCCGATCTCGCAGATGCAGGCGGTCAGGAGGAGGGCCCAGGTGGGCTCCCCATTTGCCTTGCCATGGCCAAACACCTGGGAGTGAGAGACAGGGATTGGGACACAGAATGAAGAAGGGGGGGGGTTGTTGAGGAAGTTGTTCCCGGCGGAAAATTCTTGTCCTTCCGGAACCCTTTTGGTTTTTCCAATTTTTCCGGGTTTTTTGAAGGAGCTCACAGAACGCCAGGAATATTTTTATTCTTACTATAGGAGGAGGCCTGCAAGCTGTTCCCTGGGCAAAGAGCACCAGGATATTTTCCCTTTCTATTCAGCAGGACCTTTCCACAAGAATCCTGCTGAACGTCTTCTGTTTGTATGTGGGTTGAGACTTGGCCAGGAGCAGGCGAGGGAGTGATCGCCCAGCTGACACACAGAGCTGGGAGCCGTGCTGCAGCGCTGAGCCCCGGGGACGATCCGGTGGGACAGGCACTCGCTCGCTCGCACTCCTGCTCCGAAAGCAATTCCCCGCGGACCCGGGGCGATGCCGCAGTGCTCCATCCCCGCCTACCGTTTCGGTCACGTCGGGGAGACAAACCCGCCCGTGAATCGCTCTGCCGGACCAGCGGCGGGGAGACACTGCCCCTCGCTCTCACAGAGAACGCAGGCCTGGGGACCCCACTACCTCCTCTGCTCCCCCAGGACA